AACTAATCCATTAACTTTCACAGAGAGATCCTAGGAAGGAAATACTAGAGACAGAGGCAACCCAGAAAGAAACACAGAAAAATAATCCAAGAGTCTCTCCACTCACCATCCACTGAGATGAAAACATTTTAATGGGAAACTTTATTAAAACATTCAGAGACACAGATATCTCCAGATATTCTTGGCAATAAGGTCTCTGAACACACTATAAGATTTTTAAAGCCCTGTTGTTGTTTCACAACTATAGGCAAAAATACACATACATCCCTTAACAGCATGTTAGACCTGGTGGAGCCCAAGTCAGATTTACCATCCTCAATGAAATCAGCTGACCCTTTACCTTCAGTTTAGTGTCCTTCCTTGACCATCTCAAGTCTTACACTTCTGATATAACCACCATCATTTTTAGGTGAAGTTTACCTATCCACCTAGACATACGCTTTTCCAAATCCAAATAATTAATGTTGTGGTAAGCACACTGAGAAGTTTCCTATAATTCAGTTCTATTCAGTACGTATTTTCTGAGCCATAATTCAGGTTAGGATACTGATGTGAGGCAAGGGAAAGGCTGGTGATGGGGTACGGAGAGAAGAGGGACAAGACATGGACCTCAAAATCAATGGCTCCTAGTGCCTGTTTCTAATACTCCTTCGATGATAGGCTATCAGGAAACATTTCTTTTCCAGTCAAGGCTACAGAGCCTGAATATGTTTTCACTGAATTCAGTTAAGTATTTGTACAACCAAGCCCCAGAGTCAGCTACTCACAAGAGATGCAGTGATGAGTAAGTTAAGCCCCTAAATTCTTAATGTTCTCACAGAACAAAGGCAGAGGAAGACAAGTAAAATTATAGGCTCTGGGCATGATAGTAGGCTAAAAGAAAGAGGTGGTTAAAGGAAGGACAAATCACATCCACCTTTGGGGAGTTGGGGGTGGGGTGTGTAGAGGGAAGGTGAAATGCAGGAAAGTGGAGAGAAAGGCTTCCTCGCCAGCCCTGGATGGATGAGTCATCAAGAACTCCTCCTGCCTTCTCAGTGTCTATAAATAATCCCAGGTGCTGCCATTTCATTTAATTACTAAGCCTCTCCAGATGGAGGAAAATAATTAAGCAGTCTGTGCCACCAACATGATAAAGAATGGGGTAGCAACTTGAGAAACATTTCAGTTTTTAGGTTTTCTTTCAGCTCTGATGTAAGGGCAGAAATGAACAGGGGCAAATGACTGAGCTACACAGATTATGGGTAGAAGTTTAAGTAGAAATTAAAAAAAAAATATTGTTGAAAAGGGGCTCAACTCTATCAGTAAAAGTAAAACTGTTAACATAGAATGAAAAAACCTCAATAGAAATGTTGAAGATAGGTTGTCACAAAGAAATCCCTTAAGAAGACCTTTAAATAAATCAGGATGCAATTTATTTATTTTTAAAATGTATAAGAAATATGCCATTGACAGAGCCTCTGGATGCAGACATTATGAAAATTTTATATCTTTGTGTCTGATGCAAATATTCAGAAGTACCCACTATACCCAAACAGATCTAACAAGGAAGCTGAAAAAAATATCACCAAAAGAAAAGTTTCTAAGTATATGTGCTCTTAAAGAATCATGCATTTATAATTCCAAAGTTCAATGGAATCAGGAAATATAAATAAAATTGTAGGCGTTCAATTAACAATGGCAACTGAGGTGTAAAGTTCATACCATATTCCCTTTCAAATCAAAATTCAAAGATGATCATGTGCTTCATGGAAAAAAATGCAGTAATCAAAACTAAAACCACAATAACCAAAAGTTTGGGGTTACCACACATTTATGAGCATCGGATTAAAAGCCATTATGATGGCTGCATGGTTCAAAGGCATTTTTGTTCTGGTGGGAAAATGGAGGGAAATGTTAATGTGGACTGGTGAAGAGAAGATTGTGAAAAAAAAAAACCAAATCATAACCCAATTCAGAGAGTGATAATGGAATATTCTTGGTCTAAAATAATATAGGCCTGGTTAAAGGTAAGGTCATTGCACGTACTGGGTACTCTTTACTCTGTAATCTTAATTCAGAACTAATGAAGGCATGAAGAAGATTGCGTTGCATGGGAATGCAAACCCCCTTCAGAGTAGACAGACAACCACTACTCAGACTTCGATGGCTGACTCCCTGGGGAGAAATATCAAACTCTCACATTTAATATTCTTAGAGAAAGACTGAAAAGACAAAGATATCTGAATATGGGATCTAACTAGACTGCCAAATTAAAATTGTTAACAATGCGTTGTTAACAACGCATTTCCATTGCGTGCCATAGTATGAACACAGATGTATAAATGCCTACGTGGACTTAAAAGGAAAACAAAGGAAGCAGTTCAACACAGCTGCTATCTAAAAATAATTCTGGCCCTGAGTGGTATGGCTCAGTAAGTCTGGCATCGCCCTGTAAACTGAAAGCTTGTTGGTTCAATTCTTGGTCAGGGCACACGCCTGGGTTGTGGGCCAGGTCCCACTTGGGGACATGCTAGAGGCAACCAATTGATGTTCTCTAGCACATCAATGTTTCTCTCTCTTTCTCCCTTCCTTCCTCTCTTCAAAAATAAAAAATAAATAAAATCTTTAAAAATAATTCTGTTCCATTTCATATTATCTGTCCTCTATTTTGTGTCTAGAGGACAGCAAATCAAAATTTAGAGAAAAACTTACCAGATGAAGTGCACCTTAAATGTTTTTTTTTTTTGGTGAGCTAGTAGTCATTTCCTAGAAATCCTTTAAAATTCAAAACCTAAATTTCACACAGAGGGGTTTTAGGGGTTTGTACACCAATGCTTTGCCTGTCTAAGACCAATTTGCTCTATGTTTAACAAGAGTTTACAGGGCTAGAAAAATAGAAAGCTTTTGGGTAGAGCATGCTGTGACCTAGCCCTTTTAGTTCTCTTAAACACATTTTTAAAATTTGTCTTCTCATAAGAAAAGTGACGTATAAAGTTGGGCCTGGTTGAGCCCGTCATGGTGGGCATGACAGAGGAGGGAGTAAGATTTGATGGCAAGATTATGGGAACAGAGGTCCAGCTAGCTGACAAGCAGCATGTCATGAGGACAAAAACAGAGAACAAGTGATTAGCCATGTAAGTGAAGACTGTTTCAGAATGTTTCAAGAGACACCAGTATTGCCCAAAGCAAATAAATCATGCTTTAGAAGCAGAAGGGGTCCAGAAAGAACCCATTTGAGATGCCAACAGGAGTGTCCAAAACAGAATTCTGTTCATGCAAAGAAGACACGTACACCATGGGGTCTCTATCCCATTGTAACAGAGATGGACAGACACAGATACATATTATTTGTCATTTCCCAGTGTCTACTATGTGTCAGGACTAACACTAGAAACTTCATTTAATGGCTTCTGCAATCTGGATAGTGTAGAACTTGCTATCCCCATATCACCATTATGCAGATGGTAAGTAGAAGAGATGGGATTCAAAAGCAAATCATTTTTACTCCAGTGAATGAGCTCTTAAAACACAACACTCTACTATAGTTCATGAAAGTGATCAGGGAAAAGGTATGTGTGGAAGAAAAATGGGAACAATGGCAAGATCAGCCCAATATATAACATAAACAAATGACTTCCAAAATATTTGTCTATAACCCACAATAACAAATACATTTTTATAGCATGACCCAGTTTATACTACATCCCTCTATCTGTAAACAACCAAAGGAAAGTTCTACAACATATTTATCCTTACTTTGTGTGATATACTAATATTTTCTGATTTTTTTCTGTTCTATTTCATTATTTTTAAAATGCTGGTCATGACTCCCTGAAATGACTCTACAGCCCACTAGAGCAAGTCAGAGCCCACAGTTTGAAAACAAGTGTGAGAACCAATGCTGATGACCGCCACTGTTGCTGTTTTTGATGTTTGAGTAGAATATTAGGTTTTCAATTTTTCACATATAATCTCCCATTTGAGCCTTTAGTCAAGAAAAGGAAAGAGGAAAGGGTAATTAAGAGGGAGAGATAAACAGTGGAGAGTGTTGTCCATCATATTATTTCTATCACTAAAAAGAGTAGTGAAATCAACATAGTCCAAACAAGAATAGCTCCATCTCAATGACAAAGGAGCTTGGCCCAAAAAGCAGAAGTAAAAGGACCATGTTGGAGAAGGTTCTGATGTCTTTTATGCTCATCTGAATTGTCAGAAAGGCATCTCTTCCAACAATTAGTCACTGGTAAAAGGAACACCTGTATGTAGTCTTCAGGCAAATTTTAACACTCAAAGACATGTCACTTACCTACTGCTCAGGTTACCTTCCACACAAAAACCACAGGTCTCTCTAGGCTATTTGGTCAAGACACTTGATGATCAGTATTACTTTATTTGACTTGACTTATTAAAAAGTCTGGACAGCATTATCTATGAGAAGGTGAAAGTTTTGGCTTCGCGGTACAGAATCAACACATAACCCAGAACATTCATAAATGCAAACATAAAGAGAGAAAAGATGGCAAGTCACAAATGTACTAACTTAGAAATGGTCTCAATAAAAACTTGAGTTACCATGGGGATTTCTGAAAAGGAACAAAAAAGGGTCTCTTTAGAGAAGTGACTGATGCTATTTATTAATCTACTTGCAAGTAATGTCAAATTTTAAAGTTGTTCCAAAGAAAACCACCTTTATTTTTTTTTTACATCAGCCTCTTAATATGCTGAAGGAACCTGTTCAAAATGCTTCAGCAGTGAAGTGACTTAGATGATAAATGTGTTCTTCAATCTGTGCACCAGTCAAGTAGCAATAAAATCAGAATAACTCATGCAAAAATTTTCATTATGTTTCTAAACATACTTATTTACATTTTAAATCACACATTAGACAATATGAAATATCTTTCACTTAGACAGGTGTGAACTAGAAAACAGATGCGTTCATTATACATAAAACAATTTGTTGAATTAAAAAAAAAATAAAGAACTCTCTGGTTGAAGTACTTGGGCCACTGTTAACTTACTTGAAAAAATATGGCCATGGCTCCAATTATTCTGTTTTCAGAAATTGCAGTTTGAAAGCTGTCAAAGTCGTCTGGATTGTAAAAGAAAATCTGCATCTGTAAAACAATAAAAAGAATTATATTAGTAAAATTTTCACACCTCTACAAAAATAGAACTGTAAAATGAACCAGTTCTCTACTTACTAAGGTTAGTCATCTCTCTGTATTTTTTCTTTGCTAAATTATTTGAGAGCAAACCCCAGATATCATATCACTTACCTCTACATACCTTAGCAGGATCACTAAAACACACAAGTCACATAGCAACAAGGCCTTCATGCCACCCAAACTGAGTAACACCAACAGCTTCTCTTATCTAATACTCATATTATGGTGGAAGTTCCTTATTAGGACACAATTTTTTTTTTTTATGGAGTTATACACCTTGAAGCAGAAAACTAATCTGTGAGAGCTGGTCCACATGTTACAATTATAAATGCTCAAATGGGCACATCTTTATAAACACCACCCATTCCAATGATGAGAATTTGAAGGGCTCTCTCAGTAGCCTTGAGAAATAGCCTAAATGGAATATTTCAGTAACTCCACAAAGAGAAATAATGGTAATGATAATGATGATGCCTTACATTTGACAGTTTGGGAAAAGCCATCACATGTATTATCTCGCTTAATCCATCTAACAACCCCTGTGAGGGTGGGACAAAAATTACTACCCATGGTTATAAATGAGGAAATAGTGCTTCAGAAAGTTGATGTTATCTTGGCTACACTTAAACATCAGAGAAAGAATGTAAAATCCATATGTCCTCATCCCAACCTTATGTACTTTCTCTTACATTTGACGAGAATTTCTTATTCAAAAAGGAGGACATAGATAAATCAACTTAAAATCATTATACAATTTTAATGCTTGAAGACTCTGATAATTCACATAATTTAGAGAACAAAAACAAAATACAAACCATTCTCCTGAAACCATGTTTATAATAAAAATAACAGATCTGGGTTCCTATTTCAGTTTCCTCATTTACTTGCCTGTGAGGCCTCATGTAAGCAAGCTAATTTCTGAGCATCCGTTTCCTCATGTGAAGAATCAAGTCTTTACCCCTGGTAGGGCGGGTGCGGGAACCAAACAAGTCAGTGTATGTAGCACCACGCCTAGACCTCATCAGTGCTCAACAAATCACCACCATCACCACCATCATGTTGTAAAGTTATATTTGGTAGACATCTTAAAATTTCTAACAAGAATGTGATTCTGCTAAGTCTTCTAGAATGAACTTGCTCCTTAAATTAAATAAAATCTCCTGTATCACTAGATCTCTTCTACGACCTCTTTCTCCTCACTTACCCAAAATGGCATGATGCTATTTTCTGTAATAGACTGAACCACCACACCCAAGATGCAGTTTGGAGATTTGATACTGAATGATAAATTCCCAGAGGTGAAAGAGAAGTCAGAGAGACTAGATATATAGGTTAAAGGTAAACAAAACAGAGTCCTACCAACTGAATTAACCAAGATATTAAGAACAAGGTGTCCTTTCTTTTCTGAAGGGTGAAATCTGGTAACCCAACTCAAGTCACTCTCTAGGAAAACTCAGGTACTCAAGTGGATGTGAGAAGAATGGGTAGATTCTTTTTGAGGACCTTCTTTCTGAAAGTGAATTATTTTTCTCAGATTGTAAATTTCCACTGAATCTGGCAGCTTCTTACAAATGTGTTGCCTGTAGGTTTGGACATCTTTAAACATCATGAATTTAAACTGAGAAAAGTCTATTCAATGAAGTGCAGATTAAAACAATTTAATACTGGGTGAACTGCTTTGGGTACCTTGCAACTATCCCAAAGAAGAAACTCCACAGAAGTATATACAGAAAATTACACTTCACTTTCCTTTTAAACCTCAGGCCCTCAAACTAGTTCATAGAAGATTTTCTTATTCTTCAGTGCATGAGCAAGGGGGGTGTTTTTTAATGTATCACCTGAATAGCGTGTGCTACAAAATACTTTGTCTTCTTCAAGGGCATTTTCATTTACAACTGGGTAAGAAAATTCATTTTTAGAAAATGTCTTTGAGTCATGGCTCCACCCATCAGCATAATAAAATGCCTCATAAAAAGAACAGCAGCATAGGTCTGAAATATCAATTTTCCTGGCTATTTCTCTCCAGTTGAAGTCTACTGAATTATGTTAACGTTTGAAGCTATCTGAAATATACGAGTAAATAAGCAGATGGTATTTTGCTGAGTGAAATGGAATTTAGGTTATTTGATTGTTATTATTGATGAGACATATTTGAGCTGAGGTTAGAAACCCTATTCTCCAAAAACATCTTTGGAAGGTGTTGAGGTGGCTACTAAATACCTTGAGTAGCCCATCAACCTACTGTACCTGCTCTCAAGAGCTACACTCAGAGCCTGTTCTTTAGCATCCCCCCAAGTGTGTTCTTTCTAAGAGTGTGAATCTAAGTGGCGCTTACTGTATAGTGATCATCCTCCTGAAGAAATGCAGTGCACATAAGCTGAAAAGGTGTGGAAAATCCAGCAGCAAAGAGACCTATTAAATGTTACACATCTCTCACCACTACTACCAATTATTTACACTTTATCCCACTTGCATCCTCTCTATCTCCTCACATGCAAGATTTTTTGAGTCATCTATACATGCTTAAGTGTATAATTTCTAAGAATAAGGATGCTCTCTTCCATATAAGTACAGTATAATTATTAAAGTTAGCAAATTTCACTTGGATACAATACTATTATCTAATTTACAGTGCATTTTCAAATTTTGGCAAGTGCCCAAATAAGCCCATTATAGGTCATTATTTTGGTTCTCAATCCAGGAATCCAATCCATGATAAAGCTTTGCATTTAGTTGTCATAACTTTATGCTGACCCCTCTGCCAGCCCCAACTTTCACCTGGAGCAGTCATTCAGCCTTCCCTTACTTTGGTGGTGTGACATATACAGGTCAGTTATTATGCAGAATTGGTTCTTGTCTCATGGATTTTTATGATTAGATTACAAAGTACATTTTGGGCAGGTTACCACCGTAGTGATATTATGTCTTCACAGTGCACCATATCAGAAAGCACATTAAATGGGTGTTTAACTTGTTCATATGGTTAAGGTAATGTCTGCTAGGCTTGCCCACTATAAAGTTATTAAATTTCCTTTTGTAATTAAAAAGTACTTTGTAGGGAGATATTTTGAGGTTACATAAATATTCTTTCCTCATCTAACTTTCATCCACTAGTTTTAGTACCCACTGATGACACTCTAACCCTGCCATATTCCTGTATTCATTAATGGTATTCTAGTGTAAGAAACAGTCTTCCCTTCTCCACAGTTTATTCATTCATTCATTCACTCACTCATTCACTCATTTATTCATTTATATCAACGAGGGATTGATTATTTTTTGCTTTTATTTATTTTATTTTATTCAGTGTGTTACAATCCATTACTACCAGTATTGTTGATGCTCAAACTGTCAAACTGGCCCAAAAGGAGGCTCTTCAGACAGATTCCTCAATGATGCTGTCAAGTTCCCACGTTTCTCATTTTTTAAAATCTCCTCATTAGCAGGCACACGTTCTATGCTTATCTCGTATTTTCCCTGCTCCAGTCTTAACAATGGTCATTTCTTGAGTGAACTCTGGTTCCTTGTAGTGAGGAATGCTATTTGCAGGCCAAATTTCTTTAACTCAGTGTTTTCCAAATATGTTTGCGATTAGAACATTTTGGTTCTTCAAGAAAACTATACAGCTTAAGGCTGTTTGAGTCTACTCCAAACAGGACCCTCTTTGCAAGGGAAGAAAAACTGTGTCAACTTTGTATAAATGGATGTCCCTCCACCATGCAGAGTACCATAAGATATGCAGGTTTCCCTAACCATAGGAACAAACTGCATGGAACTCAACTACGAAGACTGTTGTGTACCAGAAAACAAATCAAGGGGCCAGTGCAAAAAAACCTTTTAAATGCATGAGCAAGAATCACAGGCCTGGATGCAACATTCATTTCTATCTTGTGAAATGGCTGCAAAGGAAAAAAAGCTCCAGGCATTCCTCCAGCAGGATCAAGGTGATAGATAATGTAGAGCATAATAGGACCTAACCTGATAGTTAGAAAATAGAATTTCACAGGGGGAAAAAGCCCCATGACTTACCAGAAAGCATGTGCTAAAATACAGGTATGGAAAACGCCTGAACAAATGGCAATGTTGCCAGGTAATGGGAAGGAGTGAAACGGTACAGTGAGCACAGGGTTGACGGCAGTCGATGTTCCATTGCTTGGGTACTAACATGATGGACGCAGAGTCACGGCAAAATGTGTACTTAGCTTCCCCTTTCTCCTGCCTTCCATTAAAAATGACTCTAGTTGCAGTTTGATTTAAAAACTAGGTATATGCCTAGTTTCCAATTTGTATCACTGTCTGTATTAAGCTGAATAAATAGAAAACAACATATCTAAAAACTAAAGTTTTCTCTATTTTTATTAATGTTGTTTTGCAGACAGTTAGTGAGTTCCCACTGTATGCCAGGCACTGTACTATTATTCCTTAACACTTCAGGAGGTAGGTACCACCATCAGCCCTCATTTTACAGCCAAAGAAACCAAGGATTTTTAATTTACAGAGCTCTTAAGGAAGGAGGGCGGGGTTGTGACAGAAACACAATCTTTCCAATCCTAGTCAACGAAGGCCTTAATCATTGTGCTTCCTTTCAATAGGTAAAATTTTTTGCTTATGTATGCCATGTATAAGGTGCTCTGGAAGAGGAAGACATGGTTTGTGCTTGGGAAGACCAGAATATCGACAACGAAACAAGGTTAACTTTTTTTTTCTTGAATGCCAAAGTTGTGTCCTAAGTAACTGCATCACAAAAATGCTAAGGCAATAAATGGCTCATGGTCAAGTAAAGCATATATTATATGAATAGTAAAATGTTACAGGCAATGGGCAAGAAGGGGCATCTGTGGAAGGTGGACTTCCTATCCTCTAATGTTATATTTGTGTGCATTAGTCAGTTCCCACATCTCTGATAATGGTAGCAAGAGGAAATGTCCTAACACGAGCATGAAAAATCC